ATTATGTGCTCATTAAAACAGTAGTGGTACATTAAGATAAAACAACAATTAAATAAAACAACCAGGTTTTTATAAAAATGCACCCTGCCACATTGAGAGGTAGGTAGCTATTTCTTTCAATTTCTTGCAATTCTTTCAATTTTTATATTGTTGGTTTGAGTAGTAGCAATTGCTGCAATTCTTTCAATTTATCAATTATTTTAAATATTGAGAGGTAGGTAGCTATTTCTTTCAATTTCTTGCAATTATTTCAATTTTATCAATTATTTCAAGTATTGAGAGGTAGGTAGCTATTTCTTTCAATTTCTTGCAATTCTTTCAATTTTTATATTGTTGGTTTGAGTAGCTAGCAATTGCTGCAATTCTTTCAATTTTTCAATTATTTCAACTATTGAGAGGTAGGTAGCTATTTCTTTCAATTTCTTGCAATTATTTCAGTTTTATCAATTATTTCAACTATTAAGAGGTAGGTAGCTATTTCTTTCAATTTCTTGCAATTCTTTCAATTTATCAATTATTTCAACTATTGAAAGGTAGGTAGCTATTTCTTTCAATTTCTTGCAATTCTTTCAATTTTTATATTGTTGGTTTGAGTAGCTAGCAATTGCTGCAATTCTTTCAATTTATCAATTATTTCAACTATTGAGAGTGTGGTAGTCGTATTTAATTATATAAAATTTATCATGTTTCTGTTATTTATTTCTGAAGTATAGCTTTAAGATTCTTTTTCTTCCCTAGTTTATCCACAGTAGCTTTAAGTTGTTTACAAGCAGAGTGAGCACTTTTCTTTATTTTTACTCAGTTTAAATTCTAATCACTCTCCTATATAAGACTTTCTCTCTCTTTCTTTCTTCACTTCTGTCATTTCACCTAATATTGTGTGTTTGTATGTTTGATGTCATCTTTCTTGGTAAGTTATTATTCTTTTATTTTTACTTTATTCTACAGACTGGACAAATCTATTTTATTCAATGCAATTCTCCTTTAGAAATGTAATTTTGTAATAACTTATTTTCATAAAGTTTAAAGTTGTTTTCATTAGTTACGACAGCCATCTTTGTTTTCTTTTAGAAATCTTAGGCTACATGGTTATTTAGCCTACACCTAATTTTATACAAATTTATAATAACTCCTATTTCATAGGGTAAGATTGTTTATAGATTTTCTTTAGTTATATATTTCTAAATATGCATTATAAATGGCAGATGTGAATTTGTATTATTTATTTGTGTTGTAAATTTCTTTCATTATTTGTATTTATAAGAATTATTTATGTATTTTTCAGAGTTATTGTTTAGATTTATAATAATAAAATTTATAGAACCCCGACCCAGAGTTTCCTTGTATCTTCAAATAAACCTGTTACAAATTGGCGCCCAACGTGGATTTCCTGATTCAACTAGTAACTAGTGGTGGATGTATACACTTATCAACTTATTTTCAACGAAGTATTATTGGTACCAAGTTATATAAGTATACTCTGTAGTGTGTGAAAGTGTGTGACCCGGGTTTGTCTTGTCTTGTCTTGTCTTGTCCTATGTGTTATTTTGTTCATTTTGATTTAGTAATTTTTGTAGAAATGTACGTATTTGTAGATGTCTATTTAATTAATATATTGGTTGTCATATTATAATAATTGTAGTGGTAATTTAGTTTCACTTGCATTTGACTGACGGACAGATTATATTATTATCATTATTTTTCATTATTTTCATTATTTTTCATTATCTGTGTGTACTTGTCTATTGTTTGTACTAATCCACTTCCAAATATTTGCCATTCACAATCTATAAATCTTGATCTATTTTTTCTTTCTTTCTCAACATTCTAATTCTATTTCAGGTATAATGGTATACTATTTCTTATAATTTGACTTCAAATAATATGTTGTAATCATGTTTCACACAAGTTTCTTGAATTTTATAATTCTGTGTTTGATTTAAATTGTATATTGATTTATTGCTGTTTTAGTATATTTAATTGGTCATTAATTTTTCAATTTGGATATCTGTTTAGGTTACAATAATAATGTCAGAAGGTGGTCGTTCAATTCAGTATACACCTACACCAGAGATTATACATAGTGTAATGGAATTTCTTTCTTCGTTTGATAGGACTACACAGGATAGAATAGCTAGAGGCATACTGTCAAGACCGGAAGTTCGATCTACTCCACGTGTTTCTGCAACTGTTTCAGGCTCAATATTTACTCCATTAACTTTTTCTACACCTTCTTCAGATTCAACTTTTACAGTTACCACCACAACAACTCATCCTTCTAGTACAAGTACTACTTCTGGTAGGACACAATTAAATACTTCTAGTATATCTTATATGGCTCCAAAACTTTCTAATTTTTCATGGAAATTATGGAAATAAAGGTGACGTGTCATATGAGCAATGGAGATTAGAAATATCAGGTTTATCATCTGAAGGTATTTATTCTACAGCATCAATTATTAATGTCATTCGTCGTTCAGCCAGGGGTACTGTAGCACAAACACTTACAACCTTATCATTTAATACTGTTGCAGAGCTAGTTCGATACCTTGATCCCATTTTTGGTCAAATACAATCTCCTGAATTTTTAATGAATCAGTTATTTTCTTCATCACAGGGTCATGGTGAAAGTATTTCATCGTGGGCTTGTCGAGTCCAGGATCTTGTATTTAGATGTAAAGCTAATGGTGTGTTCAATGATATATCTGCAAATAATATTCTTATTATAATAATATTTCAGATTTTGGAATGGTTTGTATCGTGATGATATTAAGGTAGCCACAAGAAAATACCTTGAATCAAATTGTACTTTTTCTGATTTCATGATACAAGTAAGGAAAATAGCAGAAGATAGTTCGGTTCAAACAACCAGTTCCGTAACAACTACAACTACTTCTATCTCGTCTCCTTTAAGTTCAGTTTCATCTTCAAATTCTACATTATCTTCCAGCTTTGATTTTCAACAATTATCTCAGCAAATAGCAACACTAACTAAAGAAGTCAGAGGTGAGAAATCAAAAGTAGCTGAAATGGAGGTTCGTATGAATGATAGATATAACTTTTTACCCCCACCTCATTCTTTTAATGTACCTCCACCCCCATTGCCGAATAATTTTCAAAGCAATATGCAAACTCCCAGGACGGGTGCAATACCTCTTTGTTGGGATTGTCAGCAACCGGGTCATAAAAGAGGAAGTATTCTTTGCCATTTAAACCCCAACAGGTCTACTTAACGGGGCAGTCTGTAGATCTATATAGTGTTTCAGTCACAGGCGAAACAAGTAAACATTGTCCCATTCCTATGGATGATTTGATAGGCGATAAAAACATTTC